TAGTCTGATGTTCAGTAGAATTTCGAACCCTGGAGGTATACGGCACTGTAGTGATTCCACACAATTTTTTCCAAGGCTTAATATCACACAGTTACGCATTCTAGAACTGAGATAACTGAACAACGTCTTCAGTATGATTTGTGGCTGATTAACAGTACGCAGACCACAACCCACTGGATAACGAAACAGAAGACCTTTATCTCTTGCAACTGGCACAGGCCACACATGCTATTCACTAGTTGAAGCTACACCGAAATCAGTCTTTATTTCCTTGTTATGAACCAAGTTACTACAAAATACTCACTAGTGACAGGAACTGAAATAGATTTCTCAAAGTCTCAGTGAGAAGCCTTGACATCTGAGGTCCAGAAATGTGCCTATGAGCACAAATACTGACTGATGACATTGAGTGGCCATCCCACGAATTGAAAGATGTTGAAAAATATGGGCCAGCTAAACGATCCAAAACATTTTGTTTTCTCTAAACTAAATGTTTTAAACAGGAGCAAGGAAGTGGTTACTTATACAGTAAGTGGACTGAACTTCGAAGAAATTTAAAGTCACAAGGTGATTCTCAAAAACAATTATTTTCCAAACTGAGTAACTGAGGTTAGAAGCGATTTGACTTTATTATAGAGCAAGAACAACAAACATTGCAGGATGAATCAAATTCATTTCACATGCTCGCCGTCTTCCACACCTGCAGTAAATTTAAAGTTTTGTACACTAAGCTATCAGTGTCCAGCATAAGTTATTTGATACATTTTAAAGTAAAATAAACACCAAATACATTTTGACACATTTTGACATCAGTACGTATATATGGAAACAGAGATGAATGACTACATTCACGACCTAATCAGCCAATGCAGGGAATAAATAACATAAGATATTAGACAACAAAATGGACCCATAAACACAGCTAAAATAATACAATACAGTAATGGTTCAGGAATATGATTACAGCTTGAAGTGGCAGTAATTTGAATAATGGGAAAGGAAAATGGGACAGGTTTCTTCAGGGATGTTGCTCGATGTCTATCATTTTGTCTTCATGGCTGAAGTGAAGATTTCCTTTATAGTTTCGTCCTGCAGTTTCCGAGTGTTGTACTTGAACCACGGTCTATCACCAGCTTCCTTGAAGGCTTTCAACTTGATTTGGAAGGTATGTTCCTTGCACTAGACAGTGAGTGGTGTGAGCCTACATCTGCTCCTCTTCTTGACCTAGTGTCAAGTAGGCTGCATTTCCACTTTCTTCACATTCAGATGGAGTCGATCTGATTCTGAGTGTCTCTCTGGTGTCTGGTGAAATCCATGTCGTTTTGTGGATATCCTTGTGCCTGAGCACATTGCCTGACTTCGATCACCAAATCGTTGAATGCACAAAATTCTGCAAACAATCCTCCATTCTCGTTCATTTCACCTAGCGCTTCTCAACCCATGGTTAGTTCTCTTCCTGTGTTGTCTGCTCCCAGTTTGGCATTCATGTCGACCACTAGAATTTCGATGTCGCCAACTGGGGTGAGATCTTGTCCAGTACTGATTGCAGTTGTCTGTGGAATTTCTCCTTCTTCTCTTCCCTTCATCTGCATTATTTGTAGGTGCACAGTGTAGCATTGAATGATTGTGACTTTCCTTCCTTTTGAGTTGAATCTTGCTGTCATGATCCTGATCCTGCTGCTGGAGGAGAGTGGTTCCCACTGTATGAGAGGGAGCCTTCGATGCTGTTGGGAGGGGACATCATGATAGCCGCTCGAAAACTCAGTTAACTGTGCTCGTGGTTGTCGTCTGGGTGACAATATCGGAGTAGATTATTGACTCGTCTCCAGTTGACAGTTTGGAGAGTCCACTCATTACATCTGCTTTCACAAATTCCAAGCACTTCATTGTGATACCTTCTCATCTCCTTTGCAATCTGGGCTGCCTTACTGGGTTCAAACATGGTACAGACATTACATGTCCCCACGTTTACTTTCGCTTTCATCGAGAGAGAGAAGACACATCGGCCAATCGGCTTCCCGAAGTCTTTCACCAACTGGCGTCATTTCGCCTCTCCGATTCCAGTGGGGAATAATTTTGTTTTTATTTTTTATATTTTGTTTGTGCTTTGAAGTTTCTTTAGCGGTTGGATTGGTTTTACGGGGTAGGGTTGCTAGCCCTATGCCAAACCTTCCCTCTTTGTGTGGGCTTAGGACTGGCTAGTAACTAGTGAACTAGTTAACCAGGCGAGGTTAAAACTAACCTATATAATCAAAATGAAATTACTAAACATGATTGAGAGACAGGTAATATCTGCAAGGAAAGAAATATGTGGCGGAGAGTGACTGGAAGGGTTGAACCACTTCTGTCTCATGAATAATGAATGAAAATATATCTCGTCGCATTTCTTCAATCTAGCATAGTAGGATAAGTCATCAGATGCACATGAATATGAAGCAGCTTTTCTTGTGATTGAACAGTCGGTCGTGTAAATCACAACATTTCCACGCTTAGTAGTGGATAACAATGGGTTCCATATACTTCGTACTCATCAATAGCTAAGTAGTTTGCATTTTTCAGCTTGTATATCTGACACTCGGAAATTTCAGTGGAGTTAGGTGAAGAGGCTGAATATTTTGATACCTTACAATAAGACTCCCAAGAATATTGCACCTTAAATACACGCTTAATCCCATTTTCTTTATGCAGTAACTTTAAGAAGAACAGCCATTATGAATGCTGCTGTCACATTTACCTGAGGTCAGTGTACAATTATTAAAGCACTCGCAATATGTGCTTGACAACTGATGCAGTTATAAATCGCGAACACTTCGTGGGAGGAAAACGTTTTTACATGCAGTAGAAACTTGAAGTGAGTAGATAAGAAATGCTGAAATGCATTCAGGAGGAAACCAAATTACTCTGTACACTGCTCACATTCTGTTGACATGTATATTGGAGACAAGTACTACAAGGAAATGTGAATCTTCATGAGAGAATGCAAATAGTGAGAGTGAATGGAACATAATATGTTGTTACAAGCTGTCACCACTGTTGTTACTAGTAGTACTAATACAGCACCGCTACACATCATCCTTCACGTCAAGCAATGACCAGTTCATCAGCACTTTTGTTTCCTGATGATGTTAAGATAAAGAAAACAATTCGCAATGTTGACTACAAGTTGAAATCGGTGAACTATTTGTGTGATCCTCACCGTGGAAGTTGGAAATCAGTTCAAGTCAATAAGCCGCGTTGTTCATTGTTTGCAGGAACCTTAGTTTCAACTGAATGAATGGTCTAGAAATACCTCAGCCGGAGGTGGAAATCAAATTACAATGATTCTGCAGCTATAGGATTTTGTTATTCCATTCCAGTCTGTTTATTAGAAATATCACACAGTGAAACAGTATCATTTAACGGATAACGTTTTGGACACAATTTATTGTCCATATTCATATCAGGTAACTTTGAGACAGACTTTATATATTCCTAATTTTCTCTCCTTCCCTGAAGTTCCACGTCAGATATTCAGTGTGGCAGGCAACAAATTGAAAGAGTATTACCGAGTAGAAATGCAGTATTCGCGGTACAACTCTCTTCGTCATATCGCGAAAACTTCACATATTTGAGACGTTCAATATCCATCGTTCTACTAGCTTGTATCCCTTTGTCGTAAAGGTAAGAACTATTTCGAATTATCTGAAATGGCGATTTCAGAAAGTGACAAGCATAACACTTTTATTCGTAAATACTCCAAGAGGGGTTTTCGCTGGAGGCTCCAAAATGACAGCAAATCTGCATCATCTGCATATTACACGATGTACTATTCACAGGTTGCAAGGTACGAATTCGCCACCTACCAGACATTAATTTCATCCCATACACCGTGCGTTAAATCATCAATTTGCAGATAAAATTGAGATGAGGATTGGTGGATGATACTATCGAATCTCTGTGGATACTTTCCGAGTACTTACTCACTTGCTTACTTCAGTGATAACTGAAATGGACTATAGTTGGATTGTCAAATGCATTCCAGCAGTTGGACGCACACGAGATCATCAGTATCTTTCCATGAATTTGGAGGTCTTTAAATGGTAGCTGGCCAGTGGAATCGATGCAAAAACCATGGAATAGTGATCGCATATTATTTTTCACTAACGCATAGTGGAGGGCACAGGAGATAATTCCTTCCAGTGCATGCGAATACATCAATAGGCATTCATATTTATAATTCATGTAAATGCTTGTCTAAAATCCAACTAGGTGAAGTCATGAATTCATTTCGAATGTCAGTCTAGACACATGAAATCTACCTGTCAGTTGAAGTCAGTTCCCTGAATGCTTGCTGTACGTTGCTTTCATATTAATCGAAAATTACCAACAGGGTTTATTTGAAACCTCTAGCGAGAAGTTGTTATGTGAGACAATATATGATTCATCTGAAGCTATTCTCACGAACTTCACCACCAAAGCTTATTAGGAAGGATCTGTCGAACTTTAAAACTTTGTCAATATTCCTTTGCCTTATCGTGTGTGTCGAAAATGAATTGAATTTTCTTGGCTGATTGCAAATTATAGCGCAAACGGAGTTGTGAGTTAGATCGGGTCACTTACTCTTCTTCATCGTTGAGCCTTTCTTTGACAAAACGCTGACACAGCTTATCGCCGTTGGTTTAATCGGTTGCGTGTATTTACGTAGGATTGGTGTGTAGTTAATCAGTACGTGTGAAACTAAAAGAGTGAATCTTACTCGTACAAGTGCTGATTGGATTTTGTACATAAAATAGAATGATGATGTACCTATGCTCAGTTACTAGCATCTCCAATGAACATCTTATTCACAACCGAAATAATCAATCGGACAACTTTTTTCATGATATTTTGCTATTCCAGTCACCATCCACAAATCTGATTGGTCATTTCAGTTGTTGCAGGATTGGTCTCTGCTTTCTGTCTTCACAATAGTTATCTTAGAATAGCCAACCAAGTGTTAACACAGTTTGATCGTATTTATTATGTGGAAAACACGTGGGTATGCAGTTAGCAAGAATACAAGGTTGATCTCCACAAATTTGTTTTTATCATGAGTGCACTTATTCCTTTGAATGAAGATATGACCAGTTCTTACTTTTGCATTACAGAATGACTAAGAATAAGCTGAGTATTGTGCTACTGATATGCATAAGTGCAACTGGGGTTTCGCTGTCAAACCCTCCATCCGAAGATGAAATCGACGCGGAATTAGATAATCTACAAAAAGGAGTATATCAAGTGGAAAAAATCATTTCAGAAAATGCCACATACAGACTGGTGAGACGCTTATATTACTGTATTTAACTAACTAGTCGGACCATTATTACTACACACAAATGATTAGGCTCTACCAGCCGCAACAAGCTGTAGGTCAAACCAATCTTCTAACCGTTACCACTTCAAAAGGACCGGCGGTAAGTGAACGCTTACGTTACAATGTGATAAAAATACCATACGTAGACGTCTAATACAGCTTTCACAGTACATTATCATGGTAGAAACTTTTCTGTGGTTGAAGATAATCCATACGGTGAGTTCATTATCTGTTTAAATTGAAGTTTCATTAATTCACATGCTGCCTGAATTCAATCTTTATTCAACTAATCAGTGTATACATTGTGTATGAAGAGATGTTCAATGATAATATCACAACATTCCGGTTACACTGAATTCACTTGTCCTAAGTCCTTTTGAATCGATGCCAGATTGATAACAGTTGAAATTGTCAATTGTGTTAACACGGAGTCGAAAACTTGTGCATGTTAAAAGACGAACACCATTCCCTTTATCATTATTCCAAAATCTTCTCACTCTTTTCACTTGAGCATTCATTTCAAATTAATATCAGTGAATCATTCTTCGGTATTTAATGCGCACTTTAAAATTCTTGTGCTGTTTCCAGTGGCATCTTACTTGTCTTAATGCCTATATTTATTTCAGTGCTGACTTCAATGTTTCTCCATTCCTGTAACTAGTCAATCAATAGATGGTTGGCGAAAACAAGTCACAGAGTTTCTTTCTTTCCTCAATGTAGTTCATAGTTTCAATGTGCATTGGACAGATAATCGTCGCTGACAACAGTACTTATAGTCAACAATTTATAAACCTTGAATTCTTTCTTTTTATCATTTCAACATAGGCGAAGTTATCCTTAAACAGGATTGGTCGTCTCCGGGTCTGGCAATCATCAAGCCCATAGATGGAGTAATACCTACAGGTGGAAGTATTATTCATAAGAATGGTAAGATTTTATCAACTCTTTTTGACTGATATATGCGATCAGATGAGCATACATCTCTTCAGATAACTTGTATATGTTTGCAGATGATACTCAACCGAAAAAGTATATCAGCGCTTCCCTGAGAAGAACAGCTATAACATCTTTTCACAGTAGAATTATAACCTTCGATCTCTGACAAACTAATATCTAGTCTGAAATCATTTATTCTAGTTGACAAAGTCTCCCATGAAGCTGATAGGGGTATTCATATAAAACAATACTACATTTCCTTGTGGTATATAATGACACGCAATGGCACTGTTGAATTGTCATTCTCGACAGAATTTAATTTATATGCAGAGTAGCTATGCGCCATCATATGACAGTTGGCACATTCTTTTACAATGAGGCTGGTTCTGTTTATACGACCACTAGCACACCGGCCTGTTCATTCATGGATTACTTTGTATGCGATTGGCAGTGGGCAAGCAATGTATAAATTGTAAGACATTCACGCAAATGGTTGCTTACTGACCTCTGAGTTTCCTCCCTTTAGACAATAAACATCCTCAACAATCACCGCTTCCGGAAAACTTCAGAATATTTTTTATCTTTCAGATAAATTTCTTTCTATCCGATGGCCCTTTCTGAAAATCAGTGGAAATACTAAGAAAGGGACAAGCGATGGTATGTACTAACTGCTTTATTGTTTAATTGCGAGTTGTGCCTCGTTGACTCAAATTGGATGCAAAAATTAGATATCTTCCTGAATGCATTGACAAGGATGTTATTCAAAAAAATCAAAGAAAGGGATATATTTTACAATTTTTCATTATTTTCGTAATAGGAATAGAACAGTTTGTATGAAGAGAAGTCTATGGTTTGGGTAGCAGTTTGAATTATGCAAATATACATGAACTGGTTTAGTATAAGTTCATAGGATATGAGGAGAGTGTTATTAACGCTAATATAAAAACGGGTGGGAAATGCATACTGCATACAATTTGTGCATTGGTTGGCATGATTCACACACAAATGTGTTTTGACACAACCTCCTACTCATATTGATCTCATTTATTTGACTGAAGTGTGTGTATAACAATGGCATAGCTATCATGAGATTTATGTCTTGCATGAATCCCGTTTGGTAAGGTGAGACTTCTTGAATGAAATCTGATGCATCGGTTTATTGAGACGAATTCAGTGATGGACAAGGCAAAATCATTTCAGGTGCCACAACTAGTTGGGAATAAATGTCTAGACAAAATAGTGACATTCGAATGCTAGGAATATTTCATGTAAGATTACTGTGATCGTTAAATGTAGTAATATGGTATTTATACTAGGTGAGGATTGAAGGTGCGAGGAAAATCTGGACCGCAGTCAGATTTGAACCAGCGACCAATTGGTAGAGGACCGGGTCGGCTGGTCGCTGGTTCGAATCGGGCTGCGGTCTATATTTTTATCTCATCTTCAATCATCATCCAGTATAAATACTAGTTTTCCAAACTACGGCTACCTCACATAGTTGAATGAAAATACTGGTATCTTTTGAAGTTGTCGTTGGGTTTAAAATATTGGGACAGACACGAAGCTGTACTAATTTGTGAGCACACATTGGGAAGAATGCACAGCACATATGTTCTTCCAGACATGGGAAGAAGTATGTACTATGTTGGTACATGAGGAAGTTACGCCATAAGCAACCCAAGCAGAAAGCATTGGTGCCTCTACGTATATCTAAATTATGTTCATGTGAGCACGACATATCTCATTACAGTCAGACTACTTAAAATTCGCTGTCACATGCAAAAACATCCAATCATGTTCATAGTACACTCCCTTGAGCGGAATCTACTTCCGAAATAATTGGATCCACGTCCACCAGAACACCATCCACAATGTTACAGGCAACAGTGATTTCGAAGAAATCAAACTGGATGTGAATTTCCTCCACGTTTCACTTTGAAAATGTAATGCGACTGAGGTATAAAAGATTCCGGTGTCAATGATCTGCTCTGTAAAATACTTGCATTATTTGTGTATTTCTGTTTTCCAGTCGAGGTCATTTGTACTATTTATCCCAACGGAAACATATCATTTTACTATGAGAAGGTAAGATGAATAATTTTGCAAACATGCCTAAATTATTTTCCTCATAATAATCGATCTCCTTACATTTTTGGCTGACTCATGCATAAATTTTCAAAATGTAGCAGCAATAGCGTTAACAATCGTTGCTCTACAAAATAAGTTTATGTCACTCATGGGAATTGCATGGATTAGTTTGGCGAATTACCAGCAAACAAGCACTTTCTCGGTGATGACCGATTTAAGTGACATAAGAAGTCACTTGAGGGAGCAGTTTGTGGGTATAGAGGGATGAAGGAGCAGTATCTTGCATTCATCACTAATGGATATATTATTGATTCAGCTCCATCTCCATATTTCACTCATCACGAAGGATGCGCGTCTGATCAGGTAGATTACTGAAATATATTTATTCAACCACGAAATCATGTCCTGACGTTGGAACTGGAAATTGATGAGAGCAGCGCAATTTAACAGCCTGCATGCATTCACACATGCAGTCAATATCGTGTTCCCATTAAGAGAACAAATCACTCGAATAGAAGATCATCTGTGGTCAACATTCCACATGGTTTTCCTCGACATTTTCTGTTGTCTTGCCACATGCAAGGTGACTCCCTATCCCATTATGAGTTGATCACGTGGAAGGCAGGTTGCGGCTCCCTGTTGAATACTTCAATAGAAAGCATACCCAAAGCTTGGCGTGCAGAAGTAGAGATGTAAGCTGACGTTCATTTTAAAGCGATAACTGCTTCTCTTCTCCATCATTCTCATTTTTGAATTGAAGTTTTTAAATATAGTAGCAACGGAATGGGTGGTCAAGTTAACAGTACTAAATGACCGTGTATGGAAAGTATAGATAGCCAAACTGGTGGCTATGCATCCGAAATAACGTTAGGAAGACGAAACTTTCCAACAAAAACAGTGAAGCAAAGAGGGCTTGAAACTAATGGTGTTATCTGTTTAGAAGAAGTCATTTATGCATTCTGTTTTCATTAGAAATAGAAAACCTTACTGGTTATTAGGATTCAGTTGTGAGGAACCCGGCTAGGAAACACTAACGATGTCTCTGCTGGAAGTGAGTGAACAGAACCAAAATGTCTCCTGAAATGCGTGTTCACCAAAGATAAGATATCGTGTTGACCCAATTTGAGGGAGATGAGAATGCATGCAGATAACAACGATTCGCTTAGGCTGACTGGAAAGAGGTTTCATAAATGCCTCGTGGTTTTACGACCAACATTCGTTTCTTAACAACTATTATAATCTAAAAATGACACTTCACTGTGCAGTTATTGGTTACAACGTTTGGTAATATTGACCTGCTTGAGCGCTCACTGAAAAGACAAATTGAATCCAACTATCTGAACGGCAATACTTGGTGGATCCAAGCTGATTTCTAAGCACCAGCCACCTCCTTCAATGTGAAGCTCCAGAACCGCTGTTCTGAATATACATATCTCAGTGTGATAACACTTCATGTTTTACTTTCAGAGATAACATGTTAATAATAGCGAGTGAATATAGAAAGTTGGGTGCTGGTTTACAGTATTCAATATTTCTTTATAGATACCGATTGAAGGGTTGAATTTGACAAAGGGACCGGGAATTGCAGATAAGTTTTCTTATAAAAAAGGTATTCAATTTCATGGGGAATTCTTGTAATGTGAATAAGCGTATGTTTATTACTTATTCCTTGGTGCCGTATACATCGAAAACATATTCTGTGTGATTGTCCTGAAAAAATTGACTGACCGGTCGTATTTAGTCATTTAAATTGACGTTGAAAATGTCACTTATATTCACAGAATATTTTCACAGTACAAATACAAATATAGATACCTGAGGTATTTCACATTATGTTACGCACTCAACAGAAAGAAAGGCCCATCAATCCAACTAAGTTGGACGGTTCATCGAAAGTTAGGCATTCAAAACCCTTACCTTAACTAAAGTACAAATATACAAAAAAACTGAACTTCCTACTCACATTATGTTCCCCTCATCTTCACACCAATTCAAATGATTGCACACACATTCACACTTTATACTTGAACACACTGACTAGTAATTGATAGCGGTCAAATTTATTTGCATAATGCATTCACTTTTAGATGCAAGTGTCAGAATCCTGATTTACTCCAATCACCACCTTCTCTATTTAGACACGGCAGTATTTTAAAGTTCAATTCTGAAAAGTATCGGCTTCTATGAGGTCACCAAACATAAGACATTCTGCTTCTATCTCATAAGATTTGGTGAACATTTTTCCTACATTATCCATCTACCAAACGCTCAACATTATGAACTCTACCAAGTTCATTCTCTATTCTGATGTCTGAAAATGTTTCATTCAGTAGACTCAAGTATCCACTAATATGATTACACACATTATAAGCTACTGACAATTGATTCGAAGCCAATCAATTTATTTCTCACAATCGCAGGTGTTGATCACTACTGCAGCTGAGTATGTCTACAACCGGAGCCGTAACAACGTGGCACAGATCAACAAATCACATGGGGTGGTGTCAGTGGGGAATTCAAAAAGTAGACATTTGATTGATGGATAAAACATGTTTGAATTGATTTAAAATTTGCATCGTTTTCTTGCATTCATCTTCAGCAGGAGACAAGAAGGGAAGAGAAATCACGTACAGTCACGTGATGGTCCCATTGTCCATGGTGAAGTCTGGCACTCTGGTTGAATTTACTCCGAACAGAAGTATGTTATTAAAATCTGTCAGCTCCATTTTGTTGCATTTATTGGATATTTTCACTCGAATTCAGTGACTATGTTCAGCTCACCTAAAGGGGGAACCCATCATTAGCTAACCTCTCACCAATCCATTGTCAACATAATTCATGTATATTTTCAAAATGCCTGTTATGCAAATATAGTTGCGGCCAGTTGCGATGTGATATGAAAAGGTTGTCAGCCGCATTACTTTCACTCCTAGTTTGCTTCTCATTCACATTTCTAAAATATCGGCACAACCTATTCATTGCACAGTGGCCAATGTCTACTGAGACTCTGGTGTGCACTCATTGATTCACTTGATTCTGTATTCATCACACGTTCCACTGGATCCCGTTACAATACATATCCCAGCTTGATAAAGTGGATCGTATGGTTCTAAACATTCCGTTCATAAATGACAAACACTTGTAATCTCTCGCCTAAACTGCTTCGATTATTGGAGTGAGTGACTGTTTCACAGCATGCTTGTTGATAAGCAGGTGGCCCCAATCTGAGGAGTTTGACTAGGAGAGGATTAAAGGGGCTTTTAATACTCAGACTTGTGTGGCACCACATTCTGATTTGATCTCTGTATTTCACTTCACACATGTTGCTACGATGCAGATCTCTTCCTGCAACATCTGCAAATGAGCAACATTAAAATGACGAAACTTATCGAAGCATAAGAAAAAGTCGACTTCGCATACAGTACTATAAGTTTAAGTTTCCTTTCCGAATGAAAGATTGCCCTCCAGACGATTTCCATGCAATGGTGTAGAAGCTATTCATATTCATTTGTATAAAGATACTGTACTGAGTGCTAGTGTTTGCATTTCGTTGTACGACTATTTCGACTGCTTTCTGGAACCCCATTCCATCACATTTGAGCACACATTTCATCTCCACACACATTCCTTTCTACATCCATGCACGTAAGTCTATTGATATACACTTCAGTGTACAAAGCGTCCACTTATTTCATGTTAGGATTTGTGTATTGCAGCACTGAATATTGTTAGGTGGTGTCAAGTATTACATATTAGCTTGTTTAATGTTTGTGGCAGACTGATACAGAAATGCCATTTCCTGTCAGGAATCTTGGTAGATTATAGTATAGGATTTCGGCTTCGAGCTTAACATATTCTTTCTAAATAATCTGTTCGGTTGTCACTTTTTGTATGCTGTTGGTTGCCATCTCCCTCTTACACTGTCCAACTTTCGTAACAACTTGTTCACAGTTCGAAAGATCACTTCATCACATGCAACTATTACTACTAATAGAATACCCGTTTTATGCCTCAGCAACTGTAGGCATTGTCTTTTGGATTGAGGTCACGGAATACAACAGAATGCCAACCTGCTGTAATTGATTAACTGTCATGTCATGACAGCAATCTGTTCCATTTCCTCCTATTGACATACATTTCTCCAGTCAACAAGTAATGAACATTATCAAATAATGGGGTGCCAAAATTTACCTCCCATGTTTACTTATTGAAAAGCATTCGGAATTCATAAGTGGTACGCCGGAAAACAGATAGGTGTTCCTGCAAACAAGTTAGAACTGGTTTAGTACAAAGTAGAGGAAATGAATGTAGTCAGGTTAGCTTTACATAATCTGATCAAAACACTGGACTATATACGATGAGCTGGAATTGAAATTCCATATCACTTGTGCATATCTATTTTTCTTGAAATACTGATTAAAACACATTGTTTCTTCATTCATACGCAAGTTTGTTCCGAACAGACGAATCTTGATGAATGCATTAAAACATCTAGAATGGATGTCAAGTGCAAATGGTGTCCAGAAATCAATGTTTGTAGCAATGGTCACGACGCACACTACACAAGATGGCTGAATGCTGGTTGTCGTACGAAACATATTGCTGTGAGTTCTAACCAACCCTTTTCAATCTTATTACATCCAGCCTTGTTTGCTCATTTACACAAAGTAGATATCCGAAATTATGAATAAATCAATATATATATATATATATATATATATATATATATATATATATATATATATATATATGTAATGCGACGGAAGACTGAAACAAATGGGGATATTGGAGTACAGACGAATCTGTCTCACGTAAAAACATTTTCTTTCCCCGAATTATATTGGATTTATCACTGTATCAGTTGTCAATTTAATGTCGCAAGTGCTTCGATAATTCTACACTCACCACCTTAGATGAATGTGATGACAGCATTCACAATGACTGTTCTTCTCAAGGTCATCGTAAAAACAAATTTGGAATAGCGACTTTTGTGCCTGCCATATTCGCAGAATTTTCGTAGTGAGGGATTGAAAACATTTAGCATCAATCATCTTAAATTCCAACTACTGGATATTCAAAGCTTTAGCGAAATTTGACAGAATAAAATCAGATCATTATGTCGTAGAACACAGGCCATCTCCTTATGCGTAGTCGTTGTAGAGGGGACACGTTATCTTATCTCTAGCCTATTTATGAAAGATGGGTCAGCTAATAAAATAGAATTCACCTGATGATTCATCGCTGTGGTGACGTCTCCTTGTATCCACCCCCAATTTTCAGCATCACCTGTAAGTTCACTACTCACAGATTTTCTGAAAACCACACACTGCATATATAACGAATGGACAGAAAACGTTTACTTCCCAGTATTATCTGCCCCTCAGTGTGGACATTTGGTGGTTTGCATAAATGACTGTTCAATAACAACTGAACTTGAATTTCATCATATTTTACCAGGTGAACCATTCAGGAGGTGTCATATCTGAGCGTATTTTGCGAACTACAGCTGCAGTGACTGCTTGGTCGGTGAAATACCAGTGGAAACCTTCATATTCTGGGTACCACAATAAGCAGATAGAAGCAGCTGAACATTAAATCAACCTAGTGCGGTATGTTCAGTAATCTTTACCAGTAAAGTTAAGCAGGAATGGAGAAGTGACACGAAAAAGCCCCACTGAATGTGTGTAGCGATTTGAATGGTTTTGCGTAAGACTGAACAGTGATGACAACAATTTCATCCATAACACTCAGAAATGTTTGTACGTGTTTTGTAAAACACACGTCATGAAACGTTCAGAGAATTTTATTTCGAATCTATCACTTCCTCATCATTTACACGTAATCTGCCTGTCACTGAAATCTGTGATGCACTGAGGTTATGTTTGATCTCAACTTTTCACACTTTTTCAAGAAGTATTTACCGTAAAGTAATTGAGTTAAAATGAGCCCATCATTTTCACTCAAAGTAGTTCATTTTCAAAAGTGCAAATTTGATTCACAGCTACTTGAAATAAGTTCCTGAAAACGGTAATATAATGAAGATAGGTGGGTGAGAACTTCACTATGACTCAAGGACGACTTCTAGAAAAGCTTTTCAGTTATCAGTTTAAAGCGAAATTCAAGACTGTAGCATTCCTTAACTACAAGGCTATTGGAAGCGGTTATGATTCACTTGATATCGAAGTTTGTTTCCTCGGACCACCCATCAAGATCTGAGTTAAATGTCGCCAACAAATCTAGTAATGAGATATAGAGATGTATCAAAGGAGGTGAAAATTAAGAAGGCGGACAAGTTACTTGTTTGCAACATCCTCAGATGACGCAACTGTCTGCTGAGGAGTTATCAAAGACAATGAAATGATGTTTTTCTTAGAAGGACAATGAGAAATCAGTTAGTTAAGTCTGGATCAGCACTTCTTCCAAACATTACTAATTATTTCCCTCCAAGTAAATTTAGAACTATAATAACATGGTTTACTTCTAAGAGACGAAGTGAAGCCAATCTAAATACATATTGGACATATTATGGCTGATGCGGGCGACAAGATGATTGCTGATATGGTTCGCATTGCAATACACTGCATTCGTCAGGCATTAACACTTCCGCATATCAAAGCGAAGATGCAGCAAGAAGGCAGAGTTACTCGTTTGTAAGTATCTTGGAGAGAATCTCTGGTTGTAAACTGTCTTTAGGAATTAAACGGCAGTTTGATTTATCGAACAGTAGTACCACCATCTCCATTAATTCTCCGTTTCCATGAAATGAACCAAACTTGATTTCTTCTCAAATTTTTTTTCAGTCAGTTACTTTTGCGACTACAGAAGGGGAATCTGATCATGGTCGAACTCATCGAGAAACAAATGACAACTCAAATGCTCGAAGTCCCGAACACAATCTCTTCTACTTAATCTTGATAATAACTGGTGTCGTGGCCACTGTCGGGATTGTTTTGGGCTCCCTCTGGTTGTTGATGAACAAGAGGAGACGAAAAGTAGGTCGAAACATTTGGGATAGCTTCCACTAGGTCTTATCACAATTAACGTTTTAAGCCCATGTTTACGTACCACCTCCTTCCACATAACTACTCATTACTAAACGTGCAGTTTTAATTTCTGTCTGTTAACCATTGAGTTTGATCTTGCATATCGAAAGCTTTCAAATCAGGTGGATCTCATCAACCTCTGGCATGATGGGACATCAAATAAGTTGAGATTTTGTTGTACAAGCAGTAAAGTGAAATGATAAGCGAGTGGTTCTTCGGAAACTCAGCAACAACTCTCCACAGCCATTCGCTTGAATTTTTCTGATGTGATTTACGTCACTCCACCAATGAGCTCGCTGTTAACTGTTTATCGTGTCCCATCCCCAAAGTTATTCTATTAATACCTAATTCAATATGCATTCATGAATGAAGATGCGTTGAAATATTTCCTGCGAAGATATTTGAACTAGTATCTGTCACAAGTAAGTGGGTTTGTGGCATTGTTTGTATGAAAATGTCCTAAATATGAATCTATTGTCCAAATCCAGTACGCGTGGCACAGATTTCTGCAATGAAAAAAATAGTACAATGAAGATCAAAAGAAAGTCATTGACATGTGAAACTTTCAGAAAGTATTATGGAGCTCAGATTCAGTAAGATGTTTTGATGATCAGACCTTATTTCGCAAAATCAGAAGGATTTATGACTCAAAGTGCTAGTGTTAATAAAATCTCAATGAAAAAGCTGTGCATTCAAGTGGTAGGGCATCTGTTGTAATCATATGTGCGTTCTTGAGATGTTTGCTGAAGGAATCGTTCTCCATAAATGTGTGAAATAACACAGAGAGAAATCAAACAACACCGATGGGGGTGTAACAAAATCATGCAGGTTGATATTAGTAAAGCAAACCTTACATAACTTTGTAGTTAATTTGCTATCGAGTAGTTGGACCAACTTCACAAGTTGGTCGGAGATCTGTATAAGTAATAATAATCAGCATAAGAAAAATAAGAAAGAATTTAGTAATCACTTCATTGCAGACAATTTTTGGTACAAGTTGAAATTCTCAACATGATACATTACAACAAAAAAAATATTCTCTCAGGAGGTTTATGGAGATTTATTAATCGATGAATTCCAGACTAAAAAATATATGTGTTTACACATACTCCTTTACAATATTTCGAGTAGTGTTATTATAAGAATTTAGGTAATGTAAAGAATAATAATAACGCGAAATTTTCACACTGTTAAATTATTGGAACGAGATTTTTAACTGTCACAGAGCTGACATGTGAGTTCTGTTCTAACACATTTCTCATCACATAATATTATTCGTGCTAGGTAAGGAACAGTCAATTTCTTGTACTTGGCTGTACGAGCGTAATTTTATCTTGTCCCCATGAGGATATACAAAAGACAGAGAGAGAGAGAGCTGGGAATGAAGTGGATACCCAGTGTCAGTCAAAATTACTGTAAGTGGTTGCTTGCTAGAATTTAAATGTCTGTCAAATGCAATGGTAATCAGTTGAACCAGAGGCACAGTACTCAGCCTACTGACGGCTTTTAAAGCCCCACGCAATAGAACATAGTCGCCATTCAGGAAACCAGGAGACATCAGCGGGGAACAGTAGAGAAGAGTTGGTGAAATGCAGGAATTCATAAATTGTAAAAGCAGAGGCTGAATTGCACGAGATAACTTCAGTTTCTTTATGTAATGTGTTAAACGGAAGATTTTCCCAGAATTTCGATAGCCTAATTAGAAGACGAAATTTATCTAATTGCGCTTTCGAAATTCATAATTGGGACTAACTGTTTCAAATTTTCCTAGAAGTCAACAAGATATGAGACGATGAACAAGCACCAGAAGTAGAAATAGAATCCCATATAAAATGGGATTCACAGACATCCTTCTTTGTAGGCTGATGCTCTTAGCAGCCCAATCATGATCTATAGGGACTGAAATTTGGCATCAGGGAACGCAATTCACATTGAATTACGTAACGAATACCAAGTGAAATCAAAATACACACCGAAAATTCCAAAAGTGAACTATGTTGAAATGTTACATGAAATTTGTGAAACAAGCAGGTAGGATCGATATCGTTGGAGACGACCATGTGAGTTCCATGCAGTTTGAATTCTCACCACATGTTTGTTTATGTTTCATCTGCTTTACAGACCGACGCATGAACACTCCACAGTTTGTCAACGCTGTTCAAATGAAGTGACCTAATTGGCAGCAACAGATCAATGAAGATACTATATCTACATAGCGAATAAACATAAAAACTGCTCTTCTTTACTTGTTTACACTGTTTCCATTTTATGCACTTCATATAAATCCCTAACAAATTCTCGCACACGCGAATTCCTTTGTTATGTGTTCTGTTGTCGCTGACTATTTCCCTTCAAAATGTGTCCATTAACAGAAATGCTTTCAAAAATAATTGTTTTGCTCATCTCAATCGAATCCTGAGGTGTTCATAATGCACATATCGATTCTTTTGTCAGCTCCTACCTATTGGTCAGAAGCAAAGTATTAAGCGAGAGGATTCACTATATAAACTAACTAGGTGCCCTCCTAAAACTGACTGACGTGGGATTATAGAAGGTCCTGCTCACACTATTTTAGTCGAATGGGTTCAAACAAGGTAGGCGGTAGTTCTGAGTTTGCTAGGAGACATGAAGCACCACTGTTTACGTAATACTCACCGTTGGCGAATGGTGTTGATATATCGCTGACTGTATAACTGAGAATGTCATTGTCACGAGTAAGACTTCTTCGAGATTTGAGGGATGCCATAGTTAGTCCTGCCGTTAAAGGAGTTAATAGACTAGTAGTAGTCAACTACCAACCTGCCATCTCGACGTGTAAACTTGTTTAGTTAAAAAGAAGATACAGACACTAATGAAACAGCCTAATAAATTTCGCATTAATTCGGAAGTCAGGGCAGAAATCGGGCAATGTGGATACGAGGGATGGAAGAATGTAGGCGTGAATAAAATACTGCTGATGTAGTACCATGAGGTGAAGATGACTCACGTATTCATCCTTGTGGTCCTTGAGAGCTTACAACTCAGCATTCAGTAGATGCTGCCAAAGCGACAGATTAAAAACCATAGTCTTTTAAACAATGGCAAGAGCATACAATTATCATGTCATATTCTGTATAAGACTGCAAGGATTCCTAACTACCAATGCATAGTCTACTCACATGGAGATAGAGATGAAATACACACAGGTCTTATCTACTTATTTTCCAGAAGCCTACCTGACTAACGTATACATGAATGACTTCGGCTAGTGAAATAGACAATTATTTTACAACATGCATGCGTCGCCTTCAACAAGTTGTAACAATGCGGTGTTTGCAGTATACCTATAAGATTGTCATCAGTCAATGTTGTGTAGTAGACAATAACTCACTGGTCCTTCGTTACATCAGCTGTCTTCAACCGCTAGTCTCACACATGAGCCAAGTGACTAAAAAAAGTGATTTGAAATGCGTTTTTTCACTGTGGAGTAGTAGACATTGTTGATGCTCTGGCAAACAAACGGCAGACAGTACTATTGTCTCGGGCAAGGCTTCACAACAATTGCCAGGATAACACAATTAATTTTGTCCATACATAATGCGATAGACTGAAAATGACCATCCACTGACCTGTAGTTTTTTCATCTTTGTAGCTAATGTTGACGAAGGAGACTTCATCTGAATATCTATTGAACAATTTCATAAATAGGCAATCACTTTAATGCATACAGTAACTACACAGGGAATTTGGTCGTTTGGAATAGCCTCCGAGAAACCTCCTTGTAGACCAACAGTCTATCACAAACGTCGTCGGATTTATCTCTACGAAGATTCGGCTTTTCCTTGAATGTGCACAGCGAAGCAGCTGTTACAATATATTGCTGTAACGGTTGTCATTCGGTGATCACTCTTTGGGAGTACTTCACTCGATAGTTCCATACTGGCATTCAGATCTTCCTCTGATAGCCTGTACGGTAATTAGTTCTACTGGGAGAAGGAAGATCTGATAAATAATTACCTATATCAACATTCAAGATACGAAAGACCACATTAGGACCAGCACTTTCCCACCATAAAGCGAAAACGTATAGCTTTGCAGATCGCTAGTCATAAGAGAGTTGGGCAAGACCTATCACTCATTCAGTGCAAGATTTATGAGCCTGTTCTTCCTTTTTGAAACGTGTATTGTCTGACACACGTTTCGCTAGCGACCGGAGGGATGGCATATTTAGCTAGGTATCGGGAACTGATAACAAACTAAGCGTCTGCTATCGATACTAGTATTGCTGCTAAGTGGGCGAAGGATAAATTCTGCGAAGAGCTATAGGAACCAACGACTCTCATCCCATACATTGAGTTTGTGCATCATAACAGACCTCCAAACACTTCAGGAACTGGGCTCGACGCCACTGAAATCTGCTTCACTCATGGTAACTATATTCTGCTTTACGTATCTCCTGACGCCCACCGAATTATGTCAGTCATCACATTATCCACAATACGATCCCATTGTCAATCAAGTTGACAATACAGTGTCGTTTGTAAATTCTATGCTTTCTAAATTGATTAACCTAGCTTTGTGGACAAGCAGTTCAAGTCAGTTAGTAGATGAAGACATTTGTTGAAATTATTGTGCAAATTTCGTTCACTTCTAGTTTTCGCTTATACCAAGAGTTACTGGCATAGATCATTAAACCTGCTGTACTTAAATTACCATAATCCTCAGTAGTTTCGATTTACATATCATAATACGCTGTGTGTTAGACTTCCTACTCACCTCTCAATGCACACGTTTTGACTACGGAAGTGGTAAATGAGACATTTGTAACGACTGTAGTTTGCAGGCTTGTGAATGATGTGTTAGATTTCAACATGGGAAGCCAGAAGTCACAACGACGAACGGAGTAAAATGTACACAGAATTCCCGAGTAATCTGACCGCAGAATTCGAGTGTTGAAACATTCGATGGTTTCCCCAGTCCAAATTTACCGGTTCAGAACTGGTCTGTGAACAAACAAGTTGTAACACTACCACTTGCTTCATTGATTGAAGCCATTCCTAGCGATTGCTTATCAGCTTTTGTAACCTGTGAAGCCGGTAGGTTAGATCGTTATCATTGTAGACAATCGTGTGGTGTTCGTGCAGTTTCAATTCACATTAACTCGTTGCTGGATGTGTTTTATCTGCTTTACATTAAAATGGCGCTAATACTGTTCAGCGTCATTCTGATTCATAAAACTATGCGTCAGTGATTAGTTTTGAAGACACAAATATCTTCACGGTGAATAAATATCAAACTGTTCTTAATTACTTATTCACACTGGCCCAAATTATTGCAGTTTATCTAAGGCCTGAACAAATTCTCACAAAGACAATTACGCTTTCAAACGAAGTCATTCATCTCGCATCTTTATGAGTTGAACATTGATAAAAGTAAGAATATAAAATCTGTTGAATATTTGACCACCATCTACTATGACCGGTCGTCAACTAAAATATCATATGAAACTCTAATGCGTCTCAATAAGTAGACCATAGAATGACACAGAGAAATGCTTTTATTTTTGCGCTACGAAATATGACATGATACATGGACACTACTGTCTTGTCAGTGTTTTTATAGCTATTATGAGACAGCGTATCGAGTGATTCTTCGTTACAGCTGCTATTGATCATCGTGTGTCTCGCGTAACTATAGAGCATTTCGTAAATCTTTGTTATTGTCAAGCTCGTCATAAATGAAGAAGTGTGACATGTCACTTTATCGAATATACTTAGGATAAGCTTACTGAAATGTTTCTTTTAAAGAAATAGGGAACTCACTGGTCGAAGCAAAGACTTCAATAAGGAGTTAAAACCTATGAAAGAACCACTACAGATCATCGCCTATCCGTAAGAGTTCATTGCGAAATTTGTAGGAACATATATGAAAAGAAAGAATAGTAATAAATTGACTTTGTGAACTTCAGGATCTAAATTTGTTCTGATACGGTTCAATAATTTGAACATTGTGTGAATGGATTATGGGAAAAGACAAGATAAGGGTGCAGCAGAGAAAAATTATTCATCTCACCAGAAGAGATAGAGACAAAAAAATAAATTCCGGACTTTGCTAGCTTTCGTCGAAATGACAACCAGCTAATCATGTAGGATTGGAGAATTTACCAATCTTGTCAGCATTGAGGTTCATACATTCTATCATGGTCACAAAATCGATACTGATAATATTAAAACTGTTCGAAAAGGTTTTCCAAACTACAAGGAAAGACGCATAGGTGAGGCTTTTCACATTGTGTTGAATCCTAATGCACTCAACAGAAAGAAAGACTTAACTATCCAACTCGCGTTCGAAGCGATGAGTACCAGTTTCTAGTCTCAGTCGGAACAACGTCACTGGGGTGCAGGTACATCCAGCTGACGAGTCCCAAATAAAACGAAACGCGCGTTCTAGATTCTTCTGCTAGTCACAACCAACCGAATTATCTTGATAAAAAACGTAGGAATAGGAAGGACAGAGAGAAAAACCAAATATTAATCACTTTACACTTGGTATGAAAATTAAAATCAATACTTCAAAGGTAGGCTCAACGTGATTAAAAACTGCTTTTGTATACATGTAGAGGGTTTGAATTTACTGATTACTAACTTGCAATGGTCTTGAAAATACTGACTAAGTAATCAACTAATTAAGTCACATTCCACACAACCACAATTATCTATTGTTTTCAACTAATGGTCTCGTAATATAAAGACTCCTTAAATTTATTTGTAATTCTCTCAGAAACCTGGTCACCAGAGATGGAGGTCAAATACCTAACCGATTTTATCTGTGTGTACTTTGAGACGTCTACCTCAGATACATAAATAACAAGTAGCTTTGGTTAGTAAATGAATCGATCCTTTCACAACTCATATTTCCACATAAATCTCGGTCAATAGAGGGTGAAATGTAGAGGCAGCAATGCCGTCACCCTGATAGTATGCGCAAATATGTAAATTATGAATATCACACAACAGAAGATGTCTCATTAGAAATCCATCATCAACGTAAATCATACACTGATAAGAAGAATTATATATGGGTGTATGGAGTGTGACCTAATCACTTGATAATCTAGTCAGTGTTTGCCAGGCTATTATTAGATAGCATGACAAAGATGTCTTCAGTCAATTTCTTGTTGATAATTGCAAATTGTGAGCTGTTGCGAAGCACTACAAAGGCAATATAGATGTGAACTTATTTGAAATGGGGGGAACAGCAGTGAGATTCATGCACAAGACCTACCTGAATGTCGAATATTGTGAGAAGAATCCCGGGCA